CAATCCCATGCTACTGTAACAGGAGGACATCTCGGAGTTAAGAAGTCATTGAGTCACATACGACACAGATTTTACTGGATAGGTATGAGACAAGATGCGGAAGAATGGTGTAGAACATGCAGTACATGTTGTGCTAAAAGGGGACCCAAGCATAAGGGACGTGCTCCAATGAAGTTATATCAAGTTGGTGCACCAATGGCAAGAGTAGCCGTCGACATTGCTGGTCCTCTGCCCCAAACTCGTGCTGGAAACAAGTACATTTGTGTGGTAATGGATTATTTCACCAAGTGGCCTGAGGCATATGCAATACCAAATCAGGAAGCTACAACTGTAGCTTCGGCTATTAGTGACTTCTTCTTCAGATTTGGTATGCCATATGAACTGCATTCAGATCAAGGCCGTAATTTTGAATCAACTGTGTTCCAAGAATGCTGCAAGTTGTTTGGCATCCGAAAGACCAGGACAACGCCACTGCACCCACAGTCTGATGGGATGGTAGAAAAGTACAACTGGACACTGGGACAGGAATTGGCAAAGTTTTGTAATAGCCGCCAAGATGACTGGGATGTCTTACTCCCTCCACTATTGATGGCCTATAGGACAGCTGAGCATGAAGCCACTGGATACATTCCAGCAAAGCTGATGTTTGGTCGGGAACTTCGGTTGCCAGTGGACCTGATAACAGGACGCTCACCTTACGAAGAGTTGCCTGAAAATGTGACAGAGTTCGTGAAAATGTTATCTGAAAGGATGGGTGATATTCACCATCAAGTGCGTTCAAACTTGAAAACGTCTGCTGATTCCATGAAGCTATGTTATGATAAGAGATCTACTGAAATAAGCTTTGAACAAGAAGACAAGGTGTGGTTGTATAATCCCAGGAAGACCAAAGGGAAGTCTCCTAAGTTTTCTTCTCCATGGGAAGGTCCAGATGATATAGTGGATCGTCTCTCAGACGTGACTTTCCGGAAAAAATGTGGTTGGCGAGGTAAGCCAAAGGTGGTGCATGCCAACAGACTTTAGAATTATCACGGTCCAGGACATTTCAGTTGGAACCAAGTGAACAATGAAATAAATGATTCTGCTGAAGATGTGTCACCTGAAAAAGCCACTGTCGAAGAAGAAACTCTATTCGGTTTTGAGAAGGGAAACAATGAAGCCCTTGATGAAGTTACTACCACTGATGTGACTATTACCGATAATAGGACAATTCCTGATGGAGCAGATGAACCTCACATGAAGCAGAAGCTAATGAGACAGAGACCAGTATGGAAGAAGATACGTCCCGTAAAATTAAGAGACTTTGTTGAATTTAAATTTTTTGTTTATAAATTCTGTACATGTAATTAAGTTATTGTTAATTATCTATTGGTTTGATTTAAGTGGCTATTGTTTGGGACGAACAATACTAAGGATGAGGCAGTGTTAAGACTGCGGAAGTGACGTGATCTGGTAACACGTAATGAGTATCTAGAAAGATCGAGGAATCTGTTGAACGTCCTAGCGTTTGCTAGATATGCCCTCTATTTTGTATATATAAGACCGGCTTAGGTAGTAATAATTAAGCTTATGAAACACTGATTTAGAAAATGAAACATAAGACAGTAATCATTTCTTTTAGTAAACACCGGCTTATGAAGCAAAATATCACACAGAAAGATTTGTTTTCAATAGAAATGGACATAATGAAGTTGAACATCATATTGTAGGTTATGTTTTTCTTCATTTATATGTATATATTGTTTTTGTTTAGAGGAAAATTTTAACATCATATGATGAGGATAAGTGTAATGACTAGAACTTTCTTGGAAGTGTAGGAAATAATTTAAACAATATCAAATGCAAATAAGGTGAGAAAAGGGGCCATCATTGATTGATAAGTGAGTTTCTTTCAGTGGTGGATTGATGATCGAGTTAGATGGTTTGTTTTTTTTAGTTTCTTGAATATTGTGTTGTGTTTAGATGAAGAAATACAGATTTGAGAAGTGCTGCAGAAACAAGAAAATTAGCAAGAAAGTGACTGCTTATCATTATTTGTGAAGTTATAGGCTCATCATTAGTTCATGAAACAGCATAAGGATAAAATTGTAGTCAAAGGGATCAAATGTGTTCTTTAGTATTAAGCATAGGGGATTTGATTTTGCATTCTTATTTTTACTGAAGAATCCAGAAACAATCCACCGAACAATATAAACTGCCACATAAATCTATAATAATTACATTCACTACACAAGTTTATGAAGTGAAATATCATACAGTGGTTAATGCATTTAGTATAGATACTCATTTATAAATTGAAACATTAAACAAATGTAAATTCCTGTAGTTCATTTACATTTATTATGTATTTCTATAGAAATGAATTTTAACCTTGAAGTGTAATGACGAGCATTTCGTGATTCAGTATAATTTTATGACTAATATTTGTTTTTTATCTTCTTCAGCTTGCAGCAGATGTGGTGTTTTATGTGGTAATTTGTGTTGTTGGTGTATCTTTGAGGCTTCTTCTCGAACTAATGTGTCGTCGAGCCTTTATGGACAGACGAGAATGTATAGAGTCAATATTTTTACTTAAAAAGGAGAAAGAGCGAGAGGTAACTATATCTGTTCTTTCTATTTAGGCAACAGTAAATATGAATTTCATCATTAATGATTTTATTAAAATAAATATATCAATGTGATAATGTAATTGTTGTTATTGCGTTTCTAAATTGCATATAGTCAAACTTAAATAAATTTTAGAGTTTGATGGTAAACATATTTTAATCATAGACTTATAATTATTCAAATCTTATTTGAAAAATTTCCATCATTATATCTTGTTTTTTTATCAGTTATAGATTAAAATTTGGTTTGAATTATTTAATGTACAAACATGGTGCAATTAATGTTTTTTTTCTCCAAAACCATGATACATGTTCTTGATAAACTTGACCCATCTTTGCTTTCCACAGTGTCGAGTATTTTCAAAACATAGTATCCAACTTCCTATAAGAGTTGGTACACTTTCTTATAAAATATGGCATATTTTCTTTTGAAACATTAACTACATTTAGTAGCATAGCATAGTTTGTTTTCCCCATACAAAAGTATTTTTCTTTAAAAAAAGCATGATACACTTTCTTTCAAATTCAAGGTTCAGTCTTCAAAACTTGGAAATTTTTAATCCAAAGCATTTTTGATAAAGTTTGATGTGACTTTTTTAAACACTTTTGGCACTTTCTCATCAAACATATGCCCCACTTTCATTCAAAATCATGCTAAACAATTTTTTCTTAAGCATGTTACACTTTATTCAAAAGCATATTCCATTTTCTTTTGAAAACATTATTCTGATATGGTACTTCCCTTTTCTCACAAGATTAGCTATTCTCGTCCAGTGCTGCCCTCTATATGCGAACTTTTTTCTTTACGCATGCCACAAGTCTTTTGCTCCCCTTTATTGGAATCAAATGATTCCAACATGCCTCTCATGTAAATCATCATGCATCACTTCTCCACCAATAGGAGCATGACATACTCATGTTACTCCCTCTATACGCCTCTACCGAACTATTATTTCTCGTTTAGCAGCAGTTTATTAAAACTGCTTCTTCACTTTAATTTAATCCCAGTTTATTACAGTCACATTATCATTAATAATTTCGATTTTGGTTGAGTCTTCTTGATTATGAATTCTAAAGTTCACGTTACCACCTTGGTGTCACACCTGTGACTAGTGTTACATCATGGGCCTCAGGTGCAAGCAACCAAGTGGGGGATTTATCAGCATTTAATCGGGGGAGACTGAATTTTGCTGTGCCTTTCCATTCCCGTTCTGAGGAGTTATTTAGGCCTAATACAGTCTTTTCTTTTCTTAGGTATGTAATGTTTTATCCCTTTCCCCTATTGCCTATGAACCATGGCCTTCCTTGCTACATGGCCAATCATCACATCCTTATTTGTTTTTTCCCCAAATTTGACCAATTTGCTTCACAATGAAGTGACGAGATTAGCATGCCTCGTCCCCCACGGGCTTCAGATCAGTTTGCTCTTGCATATCATTGTGTAGACTGGCCTTTTCTAGACCAACAATTCTTAGGTTATATTTTACCTGTTTGGGGGGGCATTTTCCGAATCTTCTGTAAGTCTGATCCGTGTCCAATTTTCCCACCTTTATCTTACCTTCACAACTCTTTTACAGTATCTCTCTATCGAAATCCTGAGAGGTTTTCTGGTGATATCCTCTCACTCCTTTCCTCCACATTGGCTCGTTTATCGTCTTCAGCTCTGGCATTGCATACGTGGTTTCTATGTTACTGGGACCTTCTCGATCGTGATGCGACCTAAAGTCGTGTCTGTTTACCAGCATCTTATCTTTGGGATTTATGTATGGCACCATTTTTGTGGCATTATGTATTTGACATGATCCCTGAGTCCTTGGAGTCACGAGTTGCATCAATACAACAACAACAGTCTACCCTTTCTCTTGTTGCCTGTTTCTCTCAGTCAGAGACCAATATGGCACCTGTTACAGTTTCTCGTACTTCTCCTTTCCAACCCTTACCTGCCCCTCCTTCTCTGGGTTCCTTGGCTCATCATTTTCTTTGACGACGCAGGTCACTTCACGAACATTACTGGTGACAACCTGGTGGGAGCTCGACTTGCCGATTTTTTCGTCAATGGCATCCTTTAGTCAAGGATCATTGGGTTCTTCAAGTTTTATCATGAGGATTCGTGATCCAATTTGATTCCACGCCTCCCATATCTCCTATACCCATTGCCTTCCCTCTGCCTCGGGACCCAATGACTGGATAGCATCTAACAAAGGTGGTTCAGGACCTACTCTCTCAGCCGACCATCAAACCTGTTCTCCCTACATCACCATGTTTTATTCCAGACTATTTGTTTTCCAAGAAAACTGGGGACTGGAGGCCTGTCATTGATTTGTCCCACCTCAATTGATTCATTCAACTTCCTCGTTTTACCATGGAGTCATTTCTCACTCAGTGGTGGGCATTTTCGCAAAATGGACGTCACAATGCTTATCAACACATCCCTGTCTCAACATGTTGTCCGTATCTTCGGTTTGTCCATCATGGGGTAGTTTATCAATTTTGTGCCCTACCCTCGGGCTTGCTTCTGCCCCCTTATGTTTTTCGTTGAGTGGTCAGAGCTTTTTCTCACCATCTTCATGCCCTGGGGCTGCAATTCAAATATTATATGGATGACTTGCTTCTTTTTGTTCATTCCAAATTGGAGTTGGTCAGCCATACTCATCAGCTCCATGACATGTCTGCTCAGGTGTGCTGTTTAATCAAATTTGAGAAGTCCTTCCTCCGTCCTACCCAATATCTTGTCCATTTAGGTGTCCTTTTCAACACACATCTCAATCTGGCCCAACCTTCTCCTCTAGAACTTCATTCCATGGAATTGTTAGCTCGCTATGCCCGTTTGGCTCCCTCACTTTCTGCTCGTGAGGTTTTGTTGCTTTTGGGTAGGTGATATTCAATGAAATCACTGGTCCCCCTCAGTTGTGCACAAATGTGATCTCTTCAGTGGGCTCTTCATGATCATGGAACCTTGTTTGGGATCCCTTGCCAGCTCCCATTACCCTTCCTCACACCCTCTTGGATGATCTGCTTTGGTTGGCATTCTGCTTCCTTCTCCTCATCCAGATTTACATCTGTTTATGGATGCATCCTATCAGGGCTGGGGTCCTTAGGTCAATCACCAGGACGTTACAGGTCGTTGATCTGTTTATAAGCAGTCTTTACATATCAACATCCTCCACCTTCTCTAGGTATGCCAGGCTTTGAATCACTTCCTTCCTCTTGTCTGGTCATGATTCATTCTACCAATTCTATGGTTATAGCACACATCAATCACCAAGGGGGCACCTTGTCATGATTTCTCTGCTTTTATATCTTGGATATCCTCTATTGAGCCCACACGCACCACATTCATCTCATTGGGTGTCATGTTCTGTGTGCTCTGAATCTCATAGCACATCGTTTTTCCCACCCTGACAAAATTTATCCACCAGAGTAGTCTTTAGATCCCCTAGTATTCTACTGACCTTGCAATCTGTGGGGTTTTCTACATGTAGTTTCATTTGCTACAACCCTCAACCACAAATTGCCCCTCTTTTGGTCTCCTGTACCTCATCCTTGGGCTCTGTTGGTCAATACCTTCAGCCTAAATTGGTCTCACAAATTCTTTTGTGTTTATCCTCCTATCCAGTTACTTCCTACCACTCCATGTTGAGTCCTTCTGATTGCTGCTTATTGGCCAGCTCCACCATGGTTTCCACGATTACACCAACTGCAACTTTCCCTTCAGTACCCCTTCCCTTTTCTCCCTCCCATCTTCGTAAATCTAGGTCCCTGATTATCCATCCCATCATTCACATCCTTTGTCTTCATGCCTGGCTTTTGTCCAGCCCTTAGCGAGGAGATCAGGTTTCTCCTGTCACATAGCTTTCCTTTTGGCTCATTCCATATGTCCTTCTTCAATGGAGGTGTATCAGCAAAATGGTGCCAACTGACCTACTGTGGCTCATGTGGCCGAGTTTCTCACATGCTTTTTGACCGGGGAGTTTTTGGTCTCTACAATATTGGGTTATCAGGATGCCTTATCCAATAACTTTCGTTTTTCCTGATACTGTCGAGTTGGTGCTTCCCCTGTTCTTACCATGTTAATGCATTCTTTCCAGATTTATCATCTTTCCAGATGACCTTGGCTTCCAGACTGGGATATTAATGTGATTCTCCATGCCCTCACTATACCTCTATTTGAACCACTTTCTTTGTGCTCCATGTTTCACCTTTCCCTTAAAACATATTTTCTTCTCCTCTTAGTCTGTGGACATTGAAGGTCTGATTTGTTTGCTACTGGTGTTTCATGTAGGCTTTACCACCACACCTATCTTCTCCTTTATCCAAATCGTTCCCTTCTCCCAAAGACCTTGGTGGCTAGGGAGGGTAACTTTCTTATTGCCTATTTCCGTTCCTTCTATTTTTCGTCTTTACCCCATCCCAATTAGGATAGACTTCTATGTCTGGTCCATACCCTTCATTGCTATATTGCCTGCATGGCTTCCTTCTGCGCTACCCATTCCCAACTTTATCTCTTCGCAGTCTTCCTCTGTTTGTGATCTGTCCCCTTCTACCCTCACTAATTGGGTTCAACATTTGATTCAATTGGGTTATTTCTCCATCAGAATTTGTTCAGGGTGTCTTCTCATCAGATTTGACACCTTACCTTTTCTCTCGCATCTCATTTTTGTCAGCCATTGGAGGAAATCCTTCAATCAGGTATATGGACTACATCTAATACATTCATCTCCTATTATTTACACCATATCATGGTTTCTTCTTCGTCAGGTTTTTGCCTTCCACCTGTGGCCATTCTTTAAGTTTGATGCTACTTTGACTAGTAAGTTTATATTCATATATTATTTTCATTTCAGGGGCCCTTGCTTTATTTATTATTTATAAGGATCCCACTCTGTGGTGAGTGCTGCCTGACAGGTATTCTTCAATTACAAATCCACACTGTACAGCCATGTTGACCTGCGCTTTAACTTCCATGGCATGGTAGTGCTCATTGTTGAGATAGGGTATTCCACAAGATTGCTTGT